AGTCCCGCCTATACTTCCTGCCTAGCCACTGGCCAATCAGGTTTTATTTATTGACCAATCAGAGCAACTTGACATACAGACCATCCCACAGCACAGCCAAGTGCAGACCATCTCAGACACCTGCACTCAGGCCTGTGGTCCTAATCATCCTCTATGCAGACCTGCTGGGTAAAGCCACAAGGAACCTGAGAACGGGCTCCCACAGGACATACAGAACATCCCACAGCAGAGATCAGCACAGAACTGTTGTCTGATAGTTCCCCAAAAGTTTGGGTATTTTCCCCTCTGGATATATAGTTGCTTGAGCAAAATACTGCAAGCCTTTTAGGGTTATACTTGTGGCAACACCCCAGGTCCTTCTCTAAATGGATGCAGCCTGCCTTCAATCAGTAATCTGTAGCCTGGGAGCTGCTTCCTTTGATAATTGGATGTAAGACAATGAATTCCTGCTATGCTGACTTTGTCATATAGACAAAGTCATCTTTGTAGATTGCCCATCTGCTCCTGCCTAAGAAGCCCATGATCAATCAGCTGCTACCTCAGAGCTCTAGAAACCAAACGCTCTAATAGGCCTTCTGTCCCCCGAAATATATCATGTAATTTACCCACCTTGATTCTTAAGGAGCCACTACCCTTTGCCCATCCAGAATCCTGTTATTTCCAGAAAGCCCAGTTCTCAAGTGGGTCCCCTGTGCTGTCTTAGACATTGCTTTCCAGGGGTTCTCTACATGGTGCTGTGGTAAACGAAGAGCCTTTTCTGGGTGGCAAGTAGGGGCAGCTAAGGAAACCACAGATTTAGGTCCACTCTGCTTCCTGTCTCCTGATTTCAGAACCTTGACAATTTGTCATTCTAATTGGCTGGAGGCCACCACTGTCTCCAAGCTTCAGAAGACTTGAGAAGTGAACTGCCAAAGGCACTTGTGGGCACTCATGGTAAATTCTATAGTGCTGATCCCCATAAATACACTCCTGCCAATCATTTTATGCCAATCAAACTCAGAAGTTCTCCTGCTCGGTCTGATGCATTCCACACATGCTTTCCAGCTTGCCCCGATTAAATGCATCAGCTCACAGGCTAATGTCTAAAAGAATGCTTATAAATTTAAAAATAACTGATGCACCCAGGCGTGGTGGCACACGCCTTTAATCCCAGCACTGGGGAGGCAAAGGCAGGTCAGCCTGGTCTACATAGTGAGTTCCAGGGCTGGTACACAAAAAAAAACCTGTCTCAAAAAAGAAACAAAAAAAAAACTAATACAAAATTCTTATTTTTAAGTTTTATTTATTATCATTGAGTGGTGCACCTGTGGAGACAGAATACAACTTCTTGGAGTCAGTTCTATCCTTCTACCTTGGTGTGGATCTGAGACTCAAACTTGGGTCTCCAGACTTATGTGGGATGCACTTTAACCATCTCAACACCTGACCCTACAGTGTAAAAATTGGAATGTGCCCCTAAGTCCCTTCGGCCAGGGTCCTTCTCTTTAGACCCACGTCAGTCACTCCTCTTGTTGTTCTCAAGCCTTTCATGGTTACACTGAAGAGCTCTCTGTTCTCCTAGCCTTTGGATAAGGGAAGCAGAGTGCCCCAGAGGAGTTAATGCTTTAGCACAGCACATCCTGACGCACAGCGGGAACATAGAAAAGTCATTCACAAAAGCAGGAACCAGGCAGGCAGGGCATGGCTTTATTTACATCAATGGTTCCTCAGTCTGTTTAGGTAACAAATCCATTGCTGGGAGTCAGATAAAAGCTGTGACTCCCCTCCAGAAAAACTGCTTTTATTTTGTTACTGATTTTGTACTTAGCATTTAAAGGGATTGGCCCAATGTATTATTGCAAGTATGTAAAGAATGTCCATCAGAAGAGGGTGGCTGCTTATGCACAAAAACCCGCACCACCTGTGCCCAAACAATTATCAACCATTTGAGAAGTGCATCAGTTGGCTGGTCCCAGGAGTGGGTAGGCTGGGAATTTCATCTTCATGAGGAGCAGTTCTCAATCTGTGTGAACCGGGGTCTTTCCAGGTGTCACCTAAGACCATCAGAAGACAGAGATATTTACATTACAATTCATACATTAGCAAAATGCAGCTATGAAGTAGCAACAAAAATAATTTTATGGTTGGGGGTCTGCTGTGGAATGGTCTGTATGCCAAATTGCTCTGATTGGTTAGTAAATAAAACACTGATTGGCCGAGGCCAGGCAGGAAGTATAGGTGAGACTAACAGAGAGAAGAACTGAGAGAACAGGAAGGTGGGAGGAAACACTGCCAGCCGCCGCCAGGACAAGCAGCATGTGAAGATGCCGGTAAGCCATGAGCCACGTGGCAAGGTATAGATTTATGGAAATGGATTAATTTAAGCTATAAGAACAGTTAGCAAGAAGTCTGCCACGGCCATACAGTTTATAAACAATATAAGTCTCTGTGTTTACTTGATTGGGTCTGAGCAGCTGTGGGACTGGTGAGTGACAAAGATTGTCCTGACTGTGGGCAAGGCAGGAAAACTCTAGCTACAGGGGTCACCACACCATGAGGAACTGTATTAAAAGGTCACAGCATGGAAGAGTGAGAACCACTGTTCATGAGGCTTAAACCCATCAACCATTCACATAATCAAATCCTCTTCACTTTGAATTCACATGCACTGTGCGGGCTACGTCAACTTGACACGAGCTAGAATGATCTGCAAGAAGCGAACTTCAGTTGAGGAAACGCTTCCATAAGATCCAGCTGCAGGGCATTTTCTTAATTAGTGATTGGTGAGGGAGGGCCCTGCCCACCCTGGGTAGTACTGCCTCTGGGCTGGTGGTCCTGGGTTCTACAGAAAGCAGGCTGAGCAAGCCATGAGGAGCAAGCCAGTAAGCCACACCCCTCCATGGCCTCTGCATCAGCTCCTGTCTCCAGTTTTTGCCCTGTTTGAGTTCCTGAACTGACTTCAGCTGAAATAAACCCTTTCCTCCCAAGTTTCTTTGGCCATGGTGTTTTACCTCAGCATCAGTAACCCTCACTAACACAAGCACCAAACAGACTTCTGATTATAATTTGTCTTCTTGGGGACTCTGTCTACAGGGCAAAACTGATCAGGGAAGAGCTAGATGCCTCTGGCACAAAGAGTCCTGGTGTGAGCTGACCAGCCTGAACCAACTGGAGTTCCCTCTTTTTCTTCTCGAGACAGTCTTGCTCTGTAGCCCAGGTTGACTGACCTCAGGTTACCGACGAGTAGGATTACAGATATGTGCCATGTCTTGTAGGGATTTTAAAATGCATCATTCTCTGAGATTGGCTAGTGGGAATCTACAGGTTAAAGAAGATTCTAAGCTTCTGAGTATCCACAACGGAGAAATAACCTCTCTTCAGAACTGTTCTGGGTTCCTATGCCTGTAGGTCAAAATGAACATGAGGAATTTGCCACACTTCAAATCTAAAGCTCGAAAATGTCTCGTCTCTATAGTCTGCCAGGGTTGTTTTGACTTGGGAATAAATGAGAAGAATCATATGTGGGATGTTCAGGGTCTCCTGCAGACCAAAAGCACTCTGGTTATTTATATATGTGGCTGCAGACATCAGGCAGAGTACACCAGTTTCCCCTGACGACCAATACTGCACAACATTTTGGGATTCAAAATGTCTTACCATAGGAAACAATGTTAAATTTTTGAAGACCTAATATTTTCGAGAAGACTTTGAGATAGTCTTACAAAGCCACTTTTTTAAAAAGGAGATAAAATATTGAACAGGATGACTACACATAAAAATCCTCCATGCCAACTACAATCTCCAGACCATTTTCCTTTCATCTTTTTCACATAAGGCCTTAGGACTGGCTTCAGAGTTCAGCACTTTATCTGTCTTATACCTTAATAACACTCTCTCCCTAGAATTTTTTCTTTTTTCTTTTTTTTTTCTCCTTTAGCAACTGAGAGATAAGAAGGCTTTATCTTCAGGCAAGATTTTATTAGCCAGAACTCAATGAGTAATGCCAGGTTTGTAGAAACCTAGGAATTAATAACTTGAATGTGGAAATAATATGTTCTTTAAAAATGTATCAGTCACATTTCACCCAGCATGTCAATTGTCTCCTAAATCAAGTCTAAACTCTCAAGCTGAATTTTAATCCCTTCCAGAAATTGCTCTCATATATATTCATTTCGCCCTCCATCCCAGCTCTGGCAAGGGACTGTCTTTGTAGAGGTTCAAGTGCAGGCTGTTAATTTCATTTTGAGAAAGGGTCTCACTGTGTTGTCCAAACTAACCTCACACTCACTATGTAGCCCAGACTGGCCTTGAATTCACCATCCTCCTGCCTCAGCTTCTCTGTGCTGGGATTACAGGCCTGCATCACCATGCCTGGCTCACAGAAAGTTCATTTGGGAGACGCAGGGGCCACCTACAGGAGAGAAGGGGAAAAGACATCGAGAAATCAGCCGAGATTATCAAGGAACTGCCGCAGAAAGCAGCTACAGCTTAACCCTAAGGGAGTCGGGAGATGGTACAAAGGAGTCGGACCAGCAGGGAGGCGGGGAGATGAGTCCTTCCCGCCCACTCTCATCGTCATTGGCTGAGGCCAGCTCGGAGAACGTCATTTCTTCAGAACCCCCACCACGCGGAGTTCAGAGTTCGTGTTCTGAAACAGTCCCCAGAAGAGTGATGTACCCAACACGGAAATGGTAGGATCAGAGGGGTCTAGGCGGGACACCGAGAATATTTTCCAGATCTGGCCCCTGCCCTAAATAAGTCTGTGCCGCTCCAGTTTTCTTTCCAGAAAACCATCTTGTCATTCTTGGGCGTTGTCTCGATCCCTCTCTCTCTCTCTCAAGCAGCTTCCCTGCGTAGCCCTCACACAGCTGCTAAGCGTATGTGCCATGAGTGAACAAGAGAAGCAGTTTAAACAAAAGTGCTTTCCTCTGAGAAAACACAGCCGTTAGAGACCACAGACTATCAAAGAGACCACATCTTTGTCAGAAAACGAGGCTGGTAATCCTAGCGTTTGGGAGACAGAGGTGGGAGGATGAGAAGTTCAAGACTAGCCAGGGTTATATAGAAAGTTTGAAGCCAGGCAGAATAAAATGAGACTTTGCCTCAAAAGCCAAACCAAAACAAGAGCAGAGCCCTCCTAAAGTAGCTCCTGCCTGTGGGCACAGCTAGGGAAGCGAAGTAGGCATTGGCCTTCACATGGGTAGCCAAGATAGAAACGGATCCACGGTATTATAGAATCCTACCCACGCCGGTCATCCCTCTCCTCTACAGCTATCCAGGGCTTCTACATAGTAGAGCCTGCCAGCAGAGTATGATTGCAACAGATATTGAGTGTGCAACCTGGGCAGCCACAACTCGGTGTATTAATTGAAGAGTTTTGTGACTCCGGAGGAGAAATCAGGTGTTTCAGAACCAATTGGGGGCGAGGGGGAGCAAGAAAGTAAAAAATGGAAAAAGAAGTGTTGCCTGTGTTCCCAAAGCCTGTCGGTATTTCTGTCCAGAGGACTGTCCAATCCTCTTCTCCTAACTTCCAAGACAATAAAGAGGAGCCCTGTCCATTGGGCATGCCAAACACCCATTTTATGGCATCTTCAAAATGACACAGGAGAAGGTGACCGATTAAGAAGAGGTGGGCTCCTGTTCAGAGCCTTGGTAAAACCTAGACCAGAGAGAGCACTCTGTATGCGGACTCTGGGCGCTACTGTCAAGTTCATGGACAATGTGCAATGTGGAAATTCAGTGGATTACTTCTTTTCTTTAAACATTTAAAATTAGGGGCTGGAGAGATGGCTCAGCTGCTCTTCCAGAAGACCTGAGTTCAATTCTTAGCACCCTATGGTGGCTCACACTCCCCTGTAACTCCAGTCTCAGGGGATCTGATGCCCTCTTCTGGCTTTACCGGTACTGCATGCACATGGTGCACAGACATTTCATGCAGGCAAAAACATCCACAGACATAAAATAAAATAATTTAACAAGTAAAAAACATTTAAAGTGACATTTATACTGATATAAAAATTAATTAAAACTGAGACTAGAGTGGTGGCACATGCTTGTTATCTTAGCACTTAGAAAGTGGAGGCAGGAGAATTAGAGTTCAAGGTCATTCTCAGTCATACAGTAAGATTGGTTGGTCTGTATGATATCCTGTCTCAAAGAAACCAAAATAATAATAAATAGAAATAAGCATGGTGCTACGTGCCTGTAAGCCCATCATTCAGGAGGCTAAGGTAGGAGAATAGGCACAAGTTTGAGGCCAACCTGGTCTATGTAGTGAGATTTAGGCTAGTCAGGATAGCTAGATGCTGTTTTAAAACACAATAATAATAGGGCTGGTGGAATAGCTCAGAGAATAGAGGAGACTATTTGAGCCTAAAGGGCTGAGTTAAATCACTATAGGACCCACATGATAGAAGAGAGAATCAACTCCTAAAGACTGTCCTCCTCAGTTGTGTAGCTTGGTCTGTTTTCAGGGCTCCTACCAGTGGGATCAGGACCTGTCCCTGGTGCTTTAAGCTGACTTTTGGGAACCTATTCCCTATGCTGGGTTGCCTCACCCAGCCTTAATGCAGTAGGAGGAGCTTGGTCCTGCCTCAACTTGATGTAACATGCCTTGTTGATGCCCATGGGAGGCCTGCCCCTTTTGGAACAGAGACAGACAGAGGAGGAGTGGATGAGAGGGGAGAGGGGAGAAAGGGGTCAGGGGTTGGTGGGTGGTGGGGCAGGAGGAGAGGAGGGAGAAAAACTGTGACTGGGATGTAAAATAAATGAAATGTTTTAATTAATAAAAAAAGATTGTCCTCTGACCTACACACATATGCACACATAAATATACACATGTATGTGTGCACATACATACACACTAAATAAATAAATGTTTAAAAGATTTTTTTAAACATAAAAAGTAAATTAGCTGGGCATGGTAATGCACACTTGTATGTAATCTTAGCACTTTGGAAGCAGAGGCAGGATTGCTACATGTTCAAGATGAGCCTGGATTACATAACAAGTTCCAGAGTAGCCAAGGCTATGCAGCAAGACTGTCTTAAAAATAAAAATCAGGGCAGGGAATGTAGCTTAGTTAGTAGAGCACCCGCCTAGCATGCACAGTCCTAGGTTCTATTTCCAGCATAGCCTAAACAGAGAGCAGGGTCACAGAATGCATGTGTAGTCAGAGAACAAGTTTGTGGAGTTGCTTCTCTCTTTTCACCTGTGTGTGGGCTCTGGGGGCTGAACTCGGGCGGCCAGGCTTGTTCAGCAAGCACCTTTCCCACTGAGTCATCTCATTTGGCCTCATCCTGAAGTTTCTGAGTGTTCTCCATGCCTATCCCCATCATTTTGAACTTAGAAAACCTCATCATTACAGAAATAACAAGCCAGGTGTAGTGGTGTGTGCTCCTAGAACTCAAGGTACTGAGGAAGGAGGATCAGAAGTCCAGGGTCATCCTCAGATAATCAGTAATTTGGAGGCCTATTTGAGCTATGCAGTACTTTGTCTCTAAAACAAAAATACCCCCCTGAAAAATAGACTAGAATGTTCCTTCCAAGCTTAAGTGGACTTGGGAAAGGCAAGGCCATGACCTTGTTCTGTGAGTGACCTCTTGCAAAGGTAATCTACTTTAATGACTTGACTGCATTATTTTCATTTCTCATAAAAATCTAACTAAGAAAATGTTAGTGGTTCCCATGAGGGACCTTGAGTAGATGATGAGAGGTAGGAAAATGGAGTTGTTCCTGCTTGTCTTAGTTATTTTTCTGTTGCTGTGATAAAACACCATGACCAAGGCAATTTATAAAATAAAGCATTTCAGTGGTGGCGCACGCCTTTAATTTCAGCACTCGGGAGGCAGAGGCAGGCGGATCTCTGTGAGTTTGAGGCCAGCCTGGGCTACCAAGTGAGTTCCAGGAAAGGCACAAAGCTA